CTCTAATGGCTAATATTGCCCACAAACACGAATAAAACGCATTAGAAAAACTACAAACGTGGCGGATGCGCGCGATCGACGGTTAGGTAGAGAGGTTTACAAAAAGGGGTTTGAGTTATTAGTAATCAACATTTAACCTGGTAAAAAATATTTATTTATTGTTATCCGTGTTATATTTCATCTGAAACAGCAATGTGAACTTTTATAAACATCCATTTGGTCATTAACTTTTAAAAGCATCATTATGCAGAAAATATGAGCAGAGTTCTCCGCATGAAAGACGCACGACTGGAAGATCAACGAGCTACTTCTTTTCTCTGCAGTACGGTAGGAAGATAAATGAAATGAAATGTGGAGGATGTTAACTGTGACGAGATGATTGACGGGCCAGTTTACAGTGACCGGGTGCGTGTATCTATGCGACAGAGCGTCCGTTAAAGACGCAGTTGTGTGACGTGATAGTATGCCCCAAAGCTTGCCTACTCTTCTACTACACACTCAAAAGTTTGTACTTTTTCTTCACCAAGAGTACATACTTTAAGGGCGTAGTATAAGTAGGCACATTGAGAGCAACTGATTTAATTAATAATGAAACAAGCGAGTCACTGAATCATTTGTTCAACTGATTCATCCAAAATCATTGAATCATTCATTCAACTGATTTGTTCAGAAACACTTAATTCCTTCAGGAATTAAACAAACCACTGAGTCGCTGAATTATTCGCTCAACTGATCCATTCCAAACACTGATTCATTTCGGAATGAAACAAGTGGCTTAGTCACTGAATCATTCACTCAACTGATTTGTTCACTGCTGCTGTGTGTTGCCCAGAGATGTGATGGTTGATTCTGCTGTGGTTCAGTGATGGCAATTCTGTGTTTAAAAGTCACTGAAGTTATTGAACAGTACACAATAAATTGAACGGTAATAATAATTTTTCTAGGCCTACTCTTTATGCTGATGGTCAGATATTCTTCCGTTGAAGCTCAAGACTCACATTGGATGATCTCAAATCACATGATCAGTAGGTTGATTTAGAAAAAGTGTGACATAAATACTAAGATTTTCTAAAACTAATTTTTTCCTTTTCAAAACTTGCTTGAACTAATTTGACCATCTTATTCAGCAGGTTACGCAACAGCAGGTCAGATCGAGCTCTGATTTAAAATGTAACAAAATGATAAATATTCAAGACGGGCCCTGTAAAGATCAGAAGATTGTAATCTAACATAAGCCACTGCAGCCAAACTCTGAGAGCGAGACTGCTGAGGCATGAAGCAGGTTAGATGAGGAGAGGACGCGTCTCTTATCTGCAGGATAATGACTTTCCCTGCGGCACACCACTGCTCAGTCCTTAGGCTTCAAGGAAGGCGGCTCCTAAACTGAAATGTGTTTCCTTGTTCTTTGTGTCGCAGTGAAGCCGAGTGATCGTCAGCAGAATGAGCTCTTCTCCCGTCGTCTCACGCGTGTCCGTCGACATCCTGGAGGAACTGCAGCGCTTCGCAGCTCAAAACCTGGAGAAGCTCGAGCTCAACAAATACTATGAAGTCATACGGGAGCTCGGGAAGGGCACCTACGGCAAGGTGGACCTCGTCAGCCACAAGATCAGAGGTACAGCACATTTACAGACCAGGGGTATTATAGTTAGCGCAAACTAAAGAAAACAACAACAACGGTTTCATTACATGAAATAAAATTAACAGAAAATTAAATATAAAAAAAACTTAATCTTATTAAATTCTCATTTTCATTTAGTTTAAATTTAAGTATTAAAATAACTTAAAAAAAAATGCTCGACCAGTAAGAGGTTTTTAATTACATTTTAATTATCACATATGACTTTGCAAACATTTATTAAAAATGAGAACCACTTTTTCTCAGTACTAATCATCCACATTTGTAAGTAAGAGTAATGGATTGCATCACAGCATCCATAATATTGCCATTATTGTATATATATATATACAGGGGTGCAACCAAAATAAAAAATGCGCTGGGTAAATGTCCGCATGGTTGACAGCTGTTAATGCACAAACACTGTAATACTGTATAAGATTTCCATTCGAACTGAAAGCAGAAATCTGCCAGTTTCAGAGCAAAACACTGAAAGAACATATACTTACCTGCCAGCAACCCGCCAAAATAAAAGCGTGCTGATTTTCGGTTTGAAAAAAAATAAATAAAGTAAAATTGTTTTTATTGTATTTTTTTTAAAGTTTACTATAAAATAATTGTATTTTTATTTAATACTCACTTTTTATTTTAAAATATAATGGTATGATCACATTTGATTTATTATTTTATTTAAAGTGCAATAATACTATTATATTATCTTTTATAGTTATATTTAATGGGTCACACTATTGTTTAATGTGAGCACCAAACCTAATCTTCAAACTTACATGCATCCCTGTGTAGATGGATGGACGGACGGATGGATGGACGGACGGATGGACGGATGGATGGATGGACGGATGGATGGATGGACGGACGGATGGA